AAGTATTTGATAATTATAAAATGATCATTTGGAATGATCATTCGGAGCGTTTGAAATGATCATTTGCAATGATCATTTGAAGTACTTGAGATGATCGATTGGAATGATCATTTGGAATGATCATTCGAAGTGATCATATGAAGTGATCATGTGAAGTGATCATGTGAGATAATTGTTTGTGATTATGAAAATATCTAATCACAACAATATGTAGAAGTTGCAAGAATCATTAGATATGAGATATTATTGGTTCTTAGATTTGTATTAACACCAACAACACCAGCAATACTTGTGTTAATAACAACAATGATATCAATGCTTGACACACCATGAAATTAGGTAATAAATGACTGGTAAACTGCCATTCGGTGAACAAAGTCAAATTAATCTTGACAATTCCTACAGCTTTTGGAGATGAGGCATTTATTTTTCACGGACACAAGATGAAAATAACTATATAATTATATGGCGACGACAACGATGCTGCTACTGGTGATTCTCAAACTCGGAAAACAATTTAGAACAACTTTAACTATTCCAACGAAAGGGAAAAAATCAACATGCAATGAAAAACAAAACCAAAGACCAGTTATGCTGTTGTTGTCAATTCGATGCCAGAAATGGTTAGGACGGACATACAAAGTGGAGTGGTAGTCTTAGTTTAATAACGATAATGTGTATGTGAAAAACTCTTAACAGCAGCTAATTTTTCCTTAGAAAAAAGTTACCTTTAAATATTGTCTTCCGAATCGGGCAAAATACACGGAACGCTAAAAAAATAAAATTTAAAGATAGAAGTTGTATTAAGAAATAATGAATAAAGTTCACTTACCTATAGTCGCGGATAATTCCTCAATGGCGAGATATTCGAATCTCGCCTTTTTTTTCCGTGTTCCGTTTCATGTGTGAGCTACTGAATCGATAAAATATCTTACTTTGAATATAAACGTATATAAAACAAATAAATCCAAACGCTACAATTTGCACGAATTCCATCACCTTATAAAACTAATACTAATTTACTGTACCATGAACCTGGAAGACTTTGCGTGGTAAATTAGTACAATAATAATATCAATAGCACTTTATTCGCAGTATGGAATAAAGACATTGAGAATTATTCTTTCCGTAACCCATTTGAGAAAATAGCAAAGGAGCAAATGGCATGATATTGAGACCCCTGTAGCAGATGCGGTAGAAATTTATTGAATGGAGCGGGGAATTATGTTCAAGTTCCCGCTGTAAAGGTAAAAATCTAAATACGAGACGTGTCCTTCAAAGCTAGTCAGCCAGGAGTTTAAAAAGGCAACATTGTATATAGAATATGAAAACTTTTATCTTTTATGGGTCCATTGAATACAACAAATTCGCATATGTATTTAAAAGACCAACTGAGCAACAACTCGAAGGAATTCCATGGCAATTAGATGATAACCAAGAAATACGGACAGTACAATGTAAAATATATCGTCCACAAGAAGTTATCATATATAAAATAAAAATCTAAATGTCTGAGCAAATTAATAAAAATAAAAAAAATTATTTGATTCGCTTTTTTCATTCCCAAAAATAATCCTTTTGTATCAATAGTTAGTTAATGCCCAACATCAGGTTCCTTACATCTTATGCATCGATCTTTCGATAGTCAATTATCATTTAAGCTTGTATCCTTCCTGAAGAAACTCTAGCTCATTATTCGAGCTACTCCAGTTCAACTGCACCTCTTTCAAGTGTCCGGAATGTAACAAAACTTCTGTTAATGTTTTTGGTTTTGCAAATGTTTCTTTTTTTGTTTCTACGAGCCAATATTTCCTCAGTCGTGATAAGAGATAATGAGTTTCGAATTCCTCTCATTTTTCCTTCGGCATTTACAAAACTTACAAACGAACTATCGATTTCTTCGTCCAAATGATGAACAAAAGGGATTGGTAAAATTGTGAATTAGATAACGTTGCTTATTGTAATATTATCATTATCGTTATGCTGTACTTGGTATAGATTTGTGCAACAGTAGATCTAATGCGGACTTTATGAAAATATAATGTGGAGATTTCTATTTTGAACTCTTTCACATATTGAAGAAAAATGCCGCCCGAAAGAGTCCTCTCAATTAAAGAGATTACAGAACAAGCCAATTATGGAGTTAAAGTATACCCAAACATTACGCTTAAAACGCACTTGCGTACCGTCAATACTTTGGCTCAGCAGGTAATATTATCGCGCGTGCAACTTGGAGTGTTAAAAATGCAAGTTTAGCGATAGGATGACTTTTTTTGTGTGTAGGCGAATAGTTATAAGCAAGAAGGAAATTTTCAAGAAGCATACAAGTTTTATATGAGATTTGCAATGTAAGTTGGATTCGGTTATTGGTGGTCTCATTTTACTCGAGTAATACTAAGGTATAGATATATTTGCTTCAATTACAGAATGGCACTTGAAAAATTACCAAGCGAACATCCGGAATACAAAAAACCAAAATATAAAGCCGATATAAGCGCGTTGAAAAAGGTTGGTGTGAAATGATAATTTCCGCATCGAATATTACGTTGGATCTAATTAAAACTCGATCATACGTATAGAGTGCCAATAAAGTACTCAAAGAGATTGAAAATTTGAAGCCAGCATTGATCGAAAAATATAACACGCATCAAAAATTCAAAGAGGAAGCTCATAAACAAAAACTTGAATTACACTCGGCACAAGAACAGCAACAGCAACAGCAACAGCAAGACGAAAAGATCAAACAACAAGAAGAAAAGGTCAAACAACAAAGCCAGCCTGAAAGCTCTAAAGATCATGTACATACGACTACAACAACTGCCACGTCAAACAAAATTTCGTCATATGAGAACTGGTCGCTAACCGAAGAACTCAAAGACTTACGTGTAGGCGAAAGTAACGTTGAGGTCGACATATCGTATCCTTATTATATGTCTTTATATAATTTGTTTGCTTTACTTTATTGAATTGTTGTAATCCGTAACTATGAATGAAATTAAATATAATTCGATGAATGGTACTCCATTGATGATGATATTAGCAGCCATTCAGAAAATAATGAGCCGGTAGGTATGGAATGTTAATGATTCTTTTATTCTTATTTCACTTGTATTACATGAAAAATTAATTTGAATACTTAATTACTTAGAAATTATCTTATCCTGGAGTATCCAATTATAATCAAAGTGATGGGTATGAAATTATAAAATTAGTTTTTCACCATAAACAAAAGAAAATAAAAATTAATAGATACTTGGTTCTTGCAGCTACACGTATACCGTTAGTCATCAAATAGACTCTTCAGTCACACCTCCAAAACCACCTGCGAAAATTCCTCCCCTCTTCGATAATGGTCAACCAATATTACATCACCAGGTTCAAATGCCACACACGATATCTCCACCAATAACTTATGAAATGCCAACGCCAATAATACAAGAAAAGCGCCAAATTACACCACCAGCTATACCAGAAAAAATACCCTCACCTCCATACTCAGCCATTGCGCCTCCTGCTTTACCTCCAAAAGTTCCACGTGACACTGAACCTATATTATTTCCGAGCCCTCCTTTACCTCCCAAACCTAGTGAATATCAGATTGATGGTTACCCTTCAAATAAACCTGATCTACCTATAAAAGGAGATAGTCTTGATTTAATTCATGGTATGGAATTTCTCTTTATGCGTTTATGTTTATTAGAATATGATGAACCAACGCTTGATACTCCTAAATAGAATTCCAAGACTATACGGAAGGAGGCGAACCTCTTCGTCGAGTTTCAATACCTTTTGACTTAACCAAAAAGTTTTTGGATATTGCTTCGCAAAATACAAGAAATAATTTGGAAACATGTGGAATCCTTACTGGGACTTTGGTAATAGTCAATTTTAATTTGCATTATTATTAGTTAATATTCAATTTGTTCTAATCAAACGATAATACAATTATCGCGTTTAGTCGCAAAATGCCTTCGCTATTAAAACTCTTATCATTCCAAAACAAACCGCAACATCAGATACTTGCGAGGTTACAAATGAAGAAGAATACTGTGAATATGTTGGAGATGATTTACTGGTTGGATGGATACATGTAAACCAAATTACGATAAAACATATTTCAATGTTCTCAGTATAAATTTATTAATTGTATGTAAATTATCTAAAAAAAAAAAACAAAAAAAAATAGACACATCCAACACAAACTTGCTTTATGAGTTCGATGGATTTGCACACTCATGCCCCTTATCAGTATTCTTTACCAGAATCAATTGCAATAGTGTGTGCACCAAAATATGATGAGTAAGGAATTTTCTTTATATAACATCCTTATAATCCTATCTAAAAAACTTCTAACCTATTATTCTTGTTTATTAGGGTTGGAATTTTCCGACTTACTAATCCACCAGGATTAGATACAATTCTTCAATGTAACGAAAGAGGTTTTCATCCTCATCCTAGTGATATTAAAATATACAAGGTAAATTAATGCTTGTTTTTAAGAGATTCATAAATTATTTGTATTTTGACGTGTCAATCTCGCATTTTTCAGAATATTAGTGACTTGCCAGGTCATGTGGTGGTGGAGGAAATGGATTTAACAGTAATTGATCTACGATAAAAACAAAAGTTAAGGTTGTTCAAAGGGTAGAACAAAATAAAAATTTTATTATTTTAAATTATTTAAAATTCTAAGAAAGTTATATATATATATGTATTTATTAATTTATTTTCTTTGATTTCCGCCACATATTTTTTTCACTATCGTGTTAAAACATTAGAGTTTTTGATCGGTGCTATTTCTTCTATGCTAATTTAATATATTTTATAAAGTGTAATTTTCTACGAAATAATTAATTCCAATACATAATTTTCCTCCATAAGAAATATGGTGTAGGAACTCTTAAATCGACAAAAATTCTATCAACTTCTTAACTAAGAAGTAAATACAAACTTTAACCGGTAATAGTCAGCCAATTGATTGATTATGAGGTTGCCTATCGTGGATGCTTGCATTTGTGAAATGGTTAGAATTTGCTTGTGCATCGATAGTATTTCCGTAACTGAAAGTGTATTGACTTCAATAAAATCATCATTGCCATGATAATCTTAAAATTCTTGAATGCATGAATATAACTCAACAAGTCCTGGCTTAGTCACACCAATGGCACTGAAAATTTTGCAGATCATTACTTATAAAATTGAATATGATTGGATGGTCGGCATCAGGATCGGAATCACATGATCCGACACTTTTTTTCGCCATGGCTAGAACATGATCAAGAAAAGAATTTGAGATATGTTCCTGATTTAAACATTTGTATTTTTAAGAACATTTAATGAGTGTTCTCTGAGAAAATTAACAAGTTGATATATGATTGAATTATTTATAATTTTTCTTTGTTCAATGAAGATGTAAAGAATTTGTGTATTATTGAATTTCAAGTTTATAATATATGCTTGAAAATAATTAATATACAAAATAATCAATAAAAATAGAGGATTAAAAATCTATCATAACATATTTCTCCACATAACTTCTAAGCTCTATTGAAGAATAATAATAAAATTAAAAATAAAATTAATTATCTAATAAATTCATTATGTATTTTTCTTTTTAAATTATCGCTTGTTTTTTGATTTATTTTTTCAACATTGCCAAATTTGAATATTTTGTCTACTCTATCATATTGTAATAGTTGTTTGTCATTTTTAAAATATTGATAGAGTCTAATTATCATTAATCCTTTAGGTTTGAAATTGATTGTGAAAATATTTTTCTTAAATAATCTTTGCGTCTTTGAGTTTTGAATTCTTTGAACTTTATCAAGGGTCATTAAAGAAATGATCCTTCTAATCCCAAATATTATTAAAGCAGTGATATATTTGTTATTAACCAGATCATCATAATAGGCTGATAATAATACTTCTTTTAATGGATGAATTGGTGATGCTTCTGATTTTTTTCCATCTTTTACTTCTTTTAATTCATCTATTATTGATTTTTTCAAAAATGTAAGTTTGTCTTTAGGAATTTCACTTGGTTTTGATATTGCTTCAACTACTGTCAAACATTGTGAAAGAATATTTATATTCACTTTGATTGAGAAGTTATAGTCATTTTCATCAATTTCAATCTTTAAGCCAAAGTAGAGGTAGAAAATACTGGTAAATAAGTTATCAACTTATTGAAGAATTTTCTTTGAAATTTGTTCATCAATTAATAATATGTAAAATTGTGACATGTTGAATAATGATTTTGTAAGAACATAAATATTAAAATAAGATATTAAAAAAATAATTAATAAAGTATTTAAATTATTATTGGATTTATTATTATTATTATTATTTTTATTATTAGATTTTGTATGATTAAGAGAGTATATATATATAAAAAATTTTATTAATAAAAGATTTTTTAGCAAAAGAAATTTAGAGCAAAGAAATAAAAGAAATCTTTAATATTTTACTTAACATTAAAATTTATTAAAAAAAATTTTAAGAAACTAAATTTTATATAAATAATTTGAATCTATGAATTTTCTTGTGAGTAAGGATGCTTGCCTAAATCCTTTCAGAAAAATATCATCATAATTTCGATGGATTATACACTAATTATTAATTAGAATTTTGACATAATTTCAATTACGACGGATTTCAAAATTCATCAGAATTTTGACGGATTATTTACTAATAGTTTATTATAATTTCAACAGAATTTAGATAGTCACTAAGAGATTTCGGCAAGCAATCTTACTTGTAAGAGCAAATAATTGTGACTTCATAATTTTTAAGCCATTATAAAGTGAGCTAATTATCATGTCAAGTCATTATGTAATTGTATTTAATTGTACAAACTATGTGATATTATTATAATATCAGGAGTTTATATTTGATTGATCAAGTGAAATTTAATTTCTCTTTTTTTATTTTCTTCTATATTATTATTAACTTTTTACTGTAAAAGTTGTTCACTTTTCAAATTAATTTTTTTTTAAGTGAATTATCACTATTATTTTTAATTTTCTTTCAAATTCTATAAGTAGAATGTGCTCAGTTATTGCGTATTTTGTTTGGTAAAATATTACAATTTTATCATCAATTTTGGGAATTTTAAGAGTCTTCCAATAGCAATTTCAATGAGTTTATTGTTCTTTTCTTGTCTTTTCTATACTAATAAGTATTACTGTTGCTTTGGTATATATTTTTATTATGGATGGTGTTACAATCAGGCTCTTAATGGATATTATCATAATATAAATATTTAATTAATATTTAATAATGATAGTTTTATAATTACTCAATCTTATCTAGGATTCTGAAAAAAATCTGGTTTGGTTCGAGCTTGAACCAGACTCAAACCTAATGAAAAGTCCAATTTGAAAATTCAAACCTAATTAAAAGTCTGGTTCGAATTTGGTTTGAATTTTGAACCAGACTCAAACCTGACCAAAAGTTCAGTTCGAGTTCAAGTAATTGTTAGTTAATATTCTAAGTAAAGTTGTAGATCATAACATGAGTTACAAATTATATAAAATAGTTAATATTTAGAATGAATATTTATGAAGTCATATGAATTTAAAAAATAATTTTAATTATTATAATTTTAATCTACTTTAGTTTTAGTATAATAAACATTTATTTTGC